AAACATTTTGCCCCTTATATTATAAACAAGTAATCACATGGTTCCTTGTAAAATTAAGGATTATTATCACTTGTGTTTTCGGAAGTTGCAAAAATTGCCCTTGTCGCTACGCGACTCAGGCAATTTCAGCAACTTCTGCGACTCAGGCAATTTCAGCAACTTCTGAAAACACGCGTCATATTAATCCTTAATTTTACTTGGCCCCATGTGATTACCTATACAAATTACTTACTTACTTACTTACTTACTTACTTACTTACTTATTAACTATTTGATCTCTAAGAATGACTAGCATCTAATTTCTCCTTACAATCACCTTAGGAAATGTATTGAGAACAGTGTGGAGAATATGCATACTGATGTTAGGGTGCCAAGGGTTAAGTTCCACTAAAAGTAGGAAATGTTCTGAGACAGTGTGATTGCGATCATCACTTAAAATTGTTCTTGTCCAGATATTTGTATGGCTCAGGGTGTGGCACATATTTTTTGATCTATTTTGGGGAGGGGATGGAGAAAATTTTAATTACTGTTGAAATTGTCAAGTACTGCCTCCTGGTTAGCTCAATTGGTAGAGCACCGGACTGTTGTGCAGGAGGCTGAGGGTTCAAGCCCTGGCCAGACCAACACCCAGGGTCTTAAAATAACTGAGGAGAATGTACTACCTTTCTATAATATCAAGAAATGGAATACACATTCTAGTCTTCTTGGATAAGGACAAATAAACCGTAGGTCCCGTCTCCTGCAGGGTTAGGGGTAGGAGACGTTAATTTCCCACGCATGAGATTGGTGTGTGGTGGATGTCCTCCCCTGGGATGAGATGGGTGGTTATATCTGCTGAAGATGGGCTAGAATGACCTTTGCAGATTAGACATTTAGATTTAGATACTATATTTTTGATTTACTAACCCTGTTTATGGAACTAAACTGCGGACTGCTACTTCCTTCCTGGCAAGCTTTCATGAACTGTTCTTCTGTTATTCCAACATCCTTTAGAAAGCTCGATAACAAAGTGTCCACCTTTCAAAGTAATAATTATAATGCTAAGGGTACCCATCACTACAGATGTAAAAAATACATAAATATTTGATAAATTAATAAATAAATAGATAAAATCAAATGTATTGTAGTTTAAGGCCCATTTCCAACCGAGATGCCTTACACGCCTGGATCATTTTTCATATATGAAAAATATGCTATTTTCCTCGTAAATGCGGAATCACTTTCATATCTTCTTCCATCTTACTAATTGGGGCTTTCACAGTCCCATCTTGAATCATGTGCGAATGACAAACTATTGTAGTATCCATATCAGTAAATAGTTTCTAATTCTTACATGTATGACGGTGCAAAATGTCATTTGAAAAGTTGATGCTACCGAAGAAGCGGTCTAGAGGAAGGCCAAGTCTGCCTGGGTCGGCAAAGGTTATTCGACTTCGAGAGTCTGTGTATGATTTATGGAGGGCAAGGAAAAGAACCATGGGTTTCGTTAACACTACAGACAGTGCTTTTGCCGAAATGTTATTGCATTGTTCCTACGATGGAACTAGAGACTCCAGGGAGATTTTTTCGAGGTGAGAATAATTATTTGACTGATTTTTACTTGAGATCCTGAGATATGTATGTAAGCAATCTCATTTGTACAAGTCATTCTTCTATAATTGAAATGCGTAAAGTAAATCAGTTTTGGCCAATATTGGTTATTTGTTTATATTTTATTTAGTGTTTTATTTAGAAGCCAAACAATTTTCTTCAACATCAAGTAAGCTTTGTACAAGTTTTAAACACAGACTCGATTTATGATTTTTCAGTCTCAAATATTTAGCTGCGAATTTGTTTACTGTGTTCTTCACCAAATCTTTGTTTTTCTTTTTAATAGTGTTTGTGAATGGCTATCAGAGTTCGCCATTTAACAATAGTGCGATTCCAAAACAAAAACACACAACTGCAAAGGATGTCGGATGGAAATGGGCCTTTAAAACAATTTTCAGTGCCAAGTTTTCATCAAGGCTAAACATCAACTTTTCAACTTACAAGCCAAAAGGCTGGTGACATCTTAGATGTTACGACAATTTCAGTTTGTTTACTAGCCAAACTAGCTGGTGGAAATAAAAAACCACTGGCTGAAACTGAATTTCTACTTGTCTGTGGCTAGTTGGCTACTGTTAGTGTTGAGCCCTGTTCGTACAACAGTGTTGCATGAAGAATCAATTCTATTTCACACAGGATGAAGTATGGATGCATGTGCAATTACTGACAAATGCTTCAAGAAAATTGATCTAAATAAAACCTCAGTCTACACCAGGGTTTAAAAAAAAAAAATTTACAAAATTCCAATAAAAATCAGTGCATGTAGCCACCTTGAGTTGCTATTAGAAGACACAAATTTGAATGAAGGGAGTTGTCCTCAACTTAAAGGTTTAACCTACTCGAGAATCTGAAAGGATATAAAGTTCCTAAATCTGTTTAAGAAAAGCAGTGAAAAAGAGAGGGCACCTCTTCACTAACTTGGCAAATAGTTGATGTAAAATATGGTTGCAAGTACAAAGACTAATTACGGATACTGAGCACTCCTTGAAACAGGTGCAGTATTATATGTCGAAGTATTTCAAGGAAACGATCAATATTTATTTGGAGTTGAAAATGAATTAATTTTAAATGTACATGAATAAATTTCACACTGGTTTAACCGGTAGGAAAGAGTTCCATATAACCTGCATAGAAACCATAAGGAAGTAATATTTGTTAACCTAGACTTGATTGCGAAAATTCAAAAACCTTTTGGTAAAAATTCCAAATTAAGTAAAATAACCAACGATGAATTCGAACCGAAAAGAATCATATCTACGTGTTTGACATTACTAAATAATTCGACATTTGTTTGTGTTATGACTACCGGAGTAGCTTTTTGAACTCAAATACATTTATTTCTGTGACCTAAACCTTAGAGTCATTGAGCCCGTTTGGTATCTTGCTGTTTTGTTTGACTCTGGCAGGGAGACAGCTGAAAACAAGAATCGATCCACTCCACGGGTAAGCTTGGGTAAGCTTGCGTAAGCTTTGAAACTTTCCGGTCTATAACTCGTAAAAATAAAAAATCGGTCCCAATAACACGAAACACGTTGCCCTGTTAACAGAAACGAAGGCGAGGAGATGAAAATCCTCTGATAATAACCTTACGTTTTCTAATGGATTGCAAGGATAACTCATTACGTTTAAGTACATTCCTGGGGAAGGCAAACAGAATTGCGCGATTTACATTGACAAAGTAAAGCTTGAAAAATACAAATATGTCAACGGAGAGAGCGGTTTGACAGTTCTTACCATTTTTTTGTATTCTTTGTGTATATTCTGATATGCTTCGTGGTTTTCGCCGTCGGAATCGAACACTTTAACAGACGGAAAACAAAAAGTTAATTCCTCTTGAGAAAACTCCGTTTAGCGTCACGAGTACTGGACTTCGGTTATTATAAAAAAAATAAGAAAAAAAAATGAATGGAAATTGCTGTTACCTAGGGAATTCTGTTCTATAAAAGTACGCACTGGAAAATTCCATATTGGTGAGGTTAAAAAGCCGCCAACGGCATCGAAAATAAATTCCCCTTGGACGGTAGACATCTTCCTCTGTATTCTGCAGTTGACTCGGTTGCACTTCCTGTACCTTGGAAACTGCCTCGCTGTGGCGCGATCATAATCCATATTTCAGGGAAGGCTAGAAAAAAATTTAACTACTCTTAAGATTGTCAGGTTCCATTAAAACCAATTTTTATTTTTTTCGAAGAGTGAAAAATTTTGAGAATCAAAACAATACCGATACAATATTAATCACAATCTTACTTAATCAAAAAACATATCATACAGAACACATACCCTCCCCTACATAGCAAATTTTGTCTTGTAACTACGCTTTGTTACTCCTCTCCCCTGGTTACATGTGGTTGATATGGCGGCCATGGCTACTGATGAAGGCGAAATTGTTTGCTTGAAGTTTTAGCTAATTGTTGACCTTAGAATGTTGAAAAGAAGATCTCAGTCAACGGAAATAACACCTCTTGTTAACAGTGCCGTCGAGAAACTTCAAGAGCTCGGTAATCAGTGAGAAGTATTGCGAAAAGGAAATAAGAATTTAAAGCGTTTGCTTGGTGTTGCTTAGTTTGAAAGTTTTACATTTTTTAGGGCACCATGTTAAGACCAGAAGAGAAAGCGGAGAACCTGTGGATACTTCTGGAGTGGATGTGGTCGTTAAAGCCCTCAAAGATCTGGTAGATTGAATTTAGAAATAGAAATAGTAAAATCAACAACGAAACAAAGTTTCCGTTACTCGTAGTTTCATGTTATGTATTGAGCACTATACAGCCAGCTAAAGCATCTCCTCCAGGTAGATTGAATTTAAAGATACGTCAGCGATTCACTTTATTATCCTGCAGGACCCTAAAGTTTCTTAGCTGCGTGATATATATCTAGCAGATCAATACTTGTAGTGTTTAATCAGTAGATACCTCCAGGGATTGTTCAAATCAGGAGGATTTTCATTGTTTTATTGGACAGTATTCTGTGTTCAAATGTTGGTTTTTATGTTTTAAATTATGCATCAGAGCAGTACAACCTATTAGCAGCTGTGAAGAAGTACTTCAGCGATTAAATCTGCCTGTCAAATTTATATCTTCCTTTGTGACCCACATTTTATTAATCAGAAGGGTTTATAATAAGAAGAGTTTATTCAATATTATCAGTTCTGGCAATACAAGTATTGAAAAACAACTGATTTACAAGCATACTAAATAATAGAAGGTAATAAATAACATATATAATCAAAGTATCCTAATAAATTAAAATCAAGGTAGTTTACACCATTTATTGTCTAAAAAGCTAATTAAGCATAGATGGGATAAAGCTATGTTTGAAACGCGCAGTACGTACTGCTGAGAGTGTAAAATTAGAAGAGTTGTGCAGAAGAATAGCAGAGTCATTAGCATCACAGTGCCAGTGGGGGAGGAAATTTATAGCAAGGAAATTTTCGTTACTTCATCAAAATTTCCAAGTTGATGATATTCTATTCTCTCATTATTAGTGATGAACACTAAAATTCCAATTAACCTTTTAACACCTTTTTGGTGAATTAACCTTCACATCTTGACATTAAGAAAATAATATATTGTAATCCTATGTTATTATGACTCATCTCCTTCTAACTACACACATGTACAATATGTCACTACAGGAAGAAGAAAGAGTAAAACTCCATGAACTGCTTGAAACAGAAACAATTACAGCCAGTGTTCTCCGTTACAAACTAAAATACTTTCCAAGTGATATCAAATCAGAGATACAAGGTATGATGAGAATTATATGAATTTTCTCAGGCAGTGGTCATTTAAGCAATAGGCTGCACTTTCCTTTGGTCCACTGGTTGGACATAAAGTTTTCAGGATAATGATATGTCCATAAGGTCGTAGTAGTAGCAAGTAGGATAAATATTGTAAGAAATATACAACTTTTTTTAGAGACATGTTTCAGCATGCTTATGCCATCTTCAATCAATGAGTAACTGAACAGTAAACAGTGAAGTAGCTGAATCAGTTACTGATTGATTGAAGATGGCATAAGCATGCCGAAACATGTCTCTGAAAAAAGTTGTATATTTCTTACAATAATGATATGTCTTTTATCTGTTTAGATGCTGTCTATTCAGCCAGACAGTCAAATGAAGCTGAAATAATGAGACTAAAGGTAATATTATAAAGATTTAAAAATTTCAGATTTGTGGATCATAATGTCCCTTCATGGCCAATATTCCTTTATCAAGTATAAGGACCTCTGTAGTGTTTTCTGTATGCTTAGTTTGAGTTGCAAGCTAGCAGGCCCTTGTACACCTGTCCAGTAGGTTATTCTAGTTTGGAAATTATATATCTGCAAGCACTGGGTAAAATTTGCAAGCTTTTGCCCTTCAACATTTTATCTGGTTTCCCTGAAAGTTTGATGGTGCCCATTTGTTTTCCTTGAGAGATAGAGAGGCTGACACTCCCTATTCCAGCTTAAACACTGGCTGTTTGACTCACTTTGATTTGAAATTGAGACTTTTAACTGAGATCCAGATAACATATACCCAGATTGATTTTGAATTCTAGATAAAGCATCATGCTAGCTCTTTCAAGAATGATATTTATCTGGCACTATCCTGATTTAGACTCAGCTGAATACTATCATCACAAACATCAAGTCCCTACAGGACAAACATGAAGAACTTGTGAAGGAAAATGCTAAACTTGAGTAAGCATGGTTTAAACTCTTTAAAAATAGTACAGTTCTCTGTGATGACTTTTTGGTACCAACAGATGATAATTATGACATCTTTAACTTTTTGTATGAAATCCAGAAGTAGACAATATTTAAAAATTTCCTAAGGAATGAAGTTTAATGATGTCAATCGCTTAGCAGATGCCTATAATGATACAAGGGATTAAAATTTTTTCACCAAAGTTGTTAATAATTTAAATCGTGAGTATTTAGTACTCAAAATCTTAAATAGTTGATATGAAAATATAAAGCGGGAATCTATCTTTTCTAGACCAGAGAGGAATGACATGCAAACTGGACATGATGAAATCATTGCACTTCTCAATCAGAAGATGGCTGATAAAGCAAGGTAACAAGTCACTGATTGTTGATCCAGGGTCAGAAGGTGTGTGAATTTATAATGCAGATTAGAGGGAGAGATCTAAAATTATAACATAAACAAAGTAAAGCACACGCTCTGATTGGTCAATTTAGCGTCCCCCATTTGTCCATGGGTGTACGCTGCTGACGTGAGCAAATGCAAAGACTATTTTTCCACGCGTTCTTGTTTTTTCTGGTCACGTAAGATTTGTTAAATAAAAGGGAACTCTTTAGCTACAATGTATCAATGTTATGTTATAAAACTTCTGGTAAACACCACAGCATACACTATTGAGTTATGGATACACTTGGGAGGTTTGCTAAGCACTCAAGAAGCTAGAGTCACTCTCGGCTATCGCCTCGCGCGACTCTAACGCTTCTTTCATGCTTAGCAACCTCCCGCGTGCATCCATAAATCAAAAGTGTACGCTGTGGTGTTTACCATTTGTTAAGTCTGAGGTTTGGGAGAGAGGGCAGGACTCTCTTATTTTGCATCTAATCACTTCAAGTCAAATAATTATTCTCAGTCTAACTCTAATTCAGTCAATGATAGCTGCTACGGTATGGTTATCACAAAATTTTGTTGATCTTCTCACGATGGACATGTATCTTATTTTGATGTTATCAGCTCTATTCAATAACTGTGCACAGTGTGACTACATAATTACTGACTTGATTTCTTTGTGCCCCTTAGTAAACAGATTACTCTAAATGAGACACGAGATAATCTGAGGGAAACGTATAAAAGGGTAAGAGGCTAGTCTGTGGTAGCTGTTATCATTTAATAGCCCATTTCCAAATTACCTTTGGCCTCTTTTCCAAAGCAAGTCCAGGACTGCTCATCCTTTCATATGATTATAAGTTTTCATACAATTGTAACTCATTTTCAAACAAACGGGTGAGTACCAGGCCTTGTTTTGAAAAAGAGGCCAAAGGTAATTCATAAATGGCCAATTATATTAGAGTACAGGTAAGAACTACACAGCATGTTACATTAGTTATTATAGTCATATGATGCTGATAGCTTATAAATTATACTGTTTTACTCCCATATAGAGATAATTGACCTAGAAGATTCAATTGTTCAGTTGAAAGAGGATTTGGTTCATGAACGAGAGGAAGCACGACTGGAAAAGGAAAAGCTCAAACAGTCAGTGGTGAGTTGTCTGGAAGTGGAATGGACAGGCTGCCAATTTGATTAATATTTTGCACTTTAGCTAATTAGTATATAATTATTAAAAACACTCAGAAGCCTTAATTATTTGACATGTTATATGTGTAACTGATGAGAAAATTACTTGTAAAATCATGAATGTGTTGTGAAATTAAGAAAAAATTGAACATTTCATTAATCCAAAAATGAATTTAGACTCTTCAAATGGGTTTGGTTATGTTATAATTTTAGTAATAGTCACATGAGTAAAGGGGGTAAGTTTTTAAAGAAACTATGGAGCTGTGTCAGTGGGAATAACAAGGTAATTTTCGTTTCATCAACTGAGTTCATATTGTAAATTGGCCACCATTAAGAGTTTCATAGCTTTACAGTCCAGCCAATTTACTCAGTTGACAAAACCAAAATTACTAAGTTAGTCTTAGTTGGCAGTTATCATTTTTTTAATGCAGTGAATTCATTGTTTAATGCAGATCTGTTGGTTTTGTTGAGTAATTGTTAGTAATAATTCTTCATTAGCTCATCATTTGATGATCAAATGTCTCCACAGGCTGACACTCTGAAGAAAGCAGAAGAGCAACGCAAGACAAATATTGAAAAGAGAAAGTAAATAACCAAGTCAGTTTTTGTCAAATTTTGACCAGAGTTTAACTCTGTGGATAATTGAAAAATGTCTTTGAATTGTATCCGATAGTTAAAGTTCCTGCTGTATTGCATTACAATTCAGTCGAAATTTTAATAAGTTTTTCAATCAAGTGCCAAGCCAATAATTCTCAGCGAAAGAAACAAATCTTTTCACTACAACATCTAAGTTTGTATTATTTTACTGGACCAATTCTTTATTATTGTTTCATTTTGTGATTTTTAGCCACAAAATCTTTTAGTTTTGATTTCTCCATGAACACTTCTTTTTTCAGTGAGATTGACAAACTGCAAGAAGAGTTGGTGGACAGTGAATCAGTTTTAGACTCTAAAAGAAAGGTGAGTTATTTTGTTTTCCAAAGTTGAAGAGGAGTTGATTTCTGTCCATCCAAGCTACTGTAAGACTGTCAATTTTTTTTATGTGAAATAGCATTGATTTTCTTGAGGAGATACTTGTTGTTTTTTTTTTTTATACCTCTCGAGGACGGAAAGGAGAGGAGAAAAGTAAGAATTTTGATAGGAAGATCACTATATGCAATGTGTGTGTTATCAATTGAAATGCCTTTTTTAGAGTATTAGAAAGTTTGAAACATCGCGCAACAGGCTGGAGGCTCAAGAGGTGCAACTAAACAGACATCTTCAGAAGGAAATCAAAGATAATTCCATATTGACGCAAGAAGGGTGAGTCAGATGGAGTGAAAAGAAAGTGAATTAGGTTCTGTTAGATCAGACATGATCCTATGTTGGTGGAGGTTCCTTGGGTGCAAATCTTTGATTTTTTTTCTGCCATAGTCTTCAGCACAAAGCTCTGTGGATAAAATTCAGAAACAGAAGAGTACGAAGAGATTTTCAACTAAATTTTGTAGCACATTTGAAATACTGTAGAATCATCTTTCACGCTGGGGAACAACAAAAAAATTGCTTTCAAAGAGCAGTGCATAAGATGAGAGTGGAAAGATGAAAGGTACTGAGGGGTTTTCAGTCATGATGTATCTAGTTCTTTGACTTTTATAGATGGTTTTGAGTCTTGATAATCTGTCTTCTAGTCTGGGGGATAACAAATTGGCTTGAACGAAAACTCAAAATTTTTAAGAAAAAGTCACTAACTCCGTTAAAACGAGCAACAAAAGATACGCGAGGAAAATGTCCACGTTAATTTTCAATGTCAAGGTTAAATTTCTTTGACGTTATTGAGGGGGCATTGGGGCCTCTGGGAAACCTCAAAACCGGAGGAAAAAACCTCCAAAACCGAAAAACTGACGAAAAAAGGCAGCAAAACCGAAAACCGCATGCAAACCTGACAAAACCGCTACATTTTCACCTTTAAAGGGGTCGAAAAGGAGAAACCGAAAACCGCATCAGAGTTTTCGTGAAAACCGAAAACCGAATGCAAAAACACGTAAAATCCGCAAACCGCTCTGACCATCAAAACCGAAAAACTGAACCTTTTTGGCCCAAAAACCGAAAAACCGATCCAAAAAACAGTCAAAACCGCAAAACCGAATATCCTTAAGCCCCCCTCGATATTGGCTAATTTGTAGAATCACAAGCCAGGGCTCGACAATAACTTTTCAACTTACTAACCAAGTGGCTAGTGACAATTTAGATGTCACGACAATTTTAGTTTGTTTACAAGTAGCAATCGAAAACCACTAGTCGAAACTGAATTTCCACTAGCCTGTGGCTAGTTGGCTGCAGTTAGTGTCGAGCCCTCCAAGCACCGTGCGTGAACACAAAAAGAATACAAAGGAGGAAGGGGAAAACTGTACTTTAAAATTCAGAAACGAAGGATATTTCCTACATAGTCCATCAATGAATGTATTTGTAATTCTTTTTTCTCTCCAGGATGAAAATTGTCAAGGAACACAATGAAATGGCGGAAGGTTTAGAGGAGAGAAAGAAATCATTACAAGATCAACTGGAAATGGTGTGAATCCTCAAATTGTGCAATTATTCAAAAGAAACCAAAATGATTTTAACACTTGTGTACATTGATGACATCTCTGTGAACAACGTGAATGTGCAAGACAGTGAGCGATGTGATTTAAGATTGCTTACCACTAGATAATTTAAGTCTAGGGGCAAATGAGCTAAGCAAAGGCTGTAAAACCAGAGAAAAAGTTTTAAACTCTTCTGGTGGACATGCTACATGCATTTCGCTCTTCTTTTATACCTAACAGATTCAGAATAAAGTGAAAGAGGCAGAAGAACAAGATAAACAGCTGACAGTTGAAAAGAAATCTCTTGAAAATGGTAATATCTGTAACCCTTCCTAAAAGGCCGTGAATTTCTACCCTATTTAAGGCAGATAAAGACAATTAGCTCCTTACTCCCTTACCGATAGGTGCCTTCTACTTAGATTTTTTATTTAGCCCCTTTGGGAAAAGTAATATAATTATTTTAATAAATACCATTATGGAAATAAATGAAGCGGAATTTCATTCAGGGAAAGTTGTGCTAAGTATGTGTCAAACTATGTGTTTCATTTATATCATGAAAGTTTTTTGTTCTTTACATATTTTTTTTTCGTTCCGAATGGTGTTTCAACAACTGCATTTTAGATTGTAAGAGCTGATAGTTTCAGTTGTAAGAGCTGAAAGTTTTTCGGTTGATCTTACCAACGCGTCGGTAGTGTGTTGGCCGACGCGTTGGTAGTGTGTCGGTGGTGTGGTTGTAGTGTGTCGTTAGTGTGTCGGTGGTGTGTCTATTCTTTGTCAGTGGTGTGTCTATTCTTTGTCGGTAATGTGTCGGTGGTGGCCGACGCGTTAGTGAGATCGGATTCTTTATCTTTCCTAAAGTTTCTTGGTTGTAGTAATTTTCATTTTCCCTGTAGGATATAAAATTGCTATGGAGCTTCAAGAAAAAGACGCTGAGGTAGTGCGACATCATGAAAGAGTGTAAGTGATTGTAATAATTGTACTTTCACATGCTGAATAGTTAGGCAGATCATTCTTACACAAACTTGATGTGCCAATTGAAGGATTATCCTAAGTGATTTTAACTTACACAGGGGATTCGAAGTAGGCCTGAGTTTGAAATTCAAGTTTTTCATCGTTTAAAAAAAAAAAAAGCAAAAACGCATACGCGAGTGTAAGTTTTTCATATGCAGTCTTCTTTAAATATGTTTTACAATAGTTTTGTTTCTGTTTGAACATACAGCCTTGCCAGATTGAAGGAATCTTTGCAGTACCAAAATCATCGATGTGCCAAGGTTAGAGCAGAGAACATGGAACTAGAAGAAGAAATAAACCAGCTTGAGGAAAGCCACAAGTAAGGAATAAAAACAGTAGTTACTAACCCTTTACACGCTGACATCAATATGCATATTCTCCATACCTTTACCTTTATTAGACCTTTAAACTTCATAAGTTGTACTGACATCTGCTTAATTATTATTATTAATCTATTTATTATTAGTCTAATCTACACGTTTTACAAGATATCAACATTAATCGGTTGTCAAGCAAACTTTCATGTTCATGAAGACCGTTCACGCCCGCAAATAGCAGGAGCTAGTCGAGGCGGGCGGGAATTAGAGGTACAGCCAGTAGTGATAGATTACAAATAAAGCTTAAACATAAATTAATAACATTTCCAGAAAAAGACAGCCACTTGAAAACTCGTATATGTAACTGCATCACTAAACAAGAGAAAATAGAAACACTATACACCGAATGCAAATATGGCGTCCAATTTGAATTGCCATTGTTCTGGCCCCGGTTGTTCGAAGGATGGATAACGCTATACACTGGATAAATCTCTATCCGGTGGATAGCGCA